AAATTAGGTTAAGTAGTTAATAGTTTTGATCAAAAAAAATGTCTATAGTGATGAAACTTAAAAAAAATTAGAAATTAAATGAAATATTTGGAATTTTCAACTCTGTAATAAATATTAAGTATACTGTATACACTTTTATTCTTTACATTACTCACTTCTTATAATTCCTATCTTATCCACTAAAATATACTAAGCTTCAAAAATAATTATGTATCTATTATACGAACTTAATCTTTTTCTTTTTTTATAGTATCTGTATAAACCATTGAAAACAATGAGGATCGTCCAAAATTCGGTTTATTTCTAATGTATCTTAAATTATTAGAGTTTAAGAAATTTAAGAGCATATTAAATATTTAAATATTTATATTGACGATTAAAATTATTTTAAGGTTTTATAGCGATTTAACAAAAAATATCGATCTATGTATATAATATTTATATTTTAATATAAATAGTATGAAAAAGGATACCATATGCTGATAGAATCCAAAACATATTTAAAGATAAATGAAATAATTTAAAAAAATTAAAATGTTAATTTTTAATTATCAAATTTAAAAATAATAATATGAATTTTGTTTACATATTGTATTTATACAATTATTTTTTTTACTTAATCAAAACTAATAGAATCTTTACAAAAAGTCACAATAAGTAATTGGATTAATCCATATATATATATTATATATTTATACATGTATATTATAGCTTGAAATGAAACCATACAATGTATTTATACAACTAGAATTTTTTTTCAATCGATGTGTGCAGACTATTTCTTTTTTCTCATTTAATGAACTATTAGAGTCTTCTTTAAGTTCTGTTATCAAACCAAATCTTTCAAATAGTAGAATTCTTCTTTCAAACAATAATATAGACTTTTACGATTTATCATTCTTTATTTATTACTAAACTTTTAAATTTAATTCTGATATTTCATTACTCACGGAAAATATAACGGAAAATATAAGTTATCGTCAAATTCATTCAAACAAATTTCTGCTCGTCATATATCTATATGTATACATAATAAAATATTAATTTATATGTTATTGTTTATTATTGTATTAAAATTTAATACATAATTTCAGTGACTTCTCAATAATGTGATATACTTTACGCCTACTGCACAGACAATAAGTTACATACTTTTCCTATCTAAAAATTGTATTTTTTTTTTAATACGAAATCAGTTAAAATCAAAATAGTATTATTAAAAACTAAAACATTGTACGTATTTTATCTTTTTTTTACTTTGATAACGCTTAACCTAAGTATTACATAACTTGGTAATTTATTTTTATTTTTTGTATATTTAAAATTTTTTTATACTAGTGTTTCTGTTGAAATAGCATATCTCCTCAAGAAAGTAGGTACTGAATAAAACTATTTTTCTTAGATTTTATTGACTACTTCTCTGTCAAACAATTTTACCTTGAATGATTATTATAGTTTATGTTTTATTGTTATTATTATAAGAATATTATTACTTTTATTATTATTACTCTACACAAATATAGTTATGTTTATATGGACATTCACATAAAATGATTTAAATGCATATTTCCTTATCTTACTCTCCTTATATTTGTTGTACCTATTTAAATTTAATGTGTACTCAACTAACTCTATTTTACCGTAATTTTCATGATACTCAATTTATTACTTTAATGTTTGTTTGTAAATATTCTTTATGGAATGAAATTATGTCAAAAGATCACACATTGTTATCATAATCCGAGACAGGATTATTATTCATTTATGTTGTATTGTGTACAATTTATTTTATAGTACCTAAATTTTAAATTGTAATGCTTGAGAATTCGAAAAAAAAATATTTGGTCTATATATGTAAATATAAACTATTTCTATACTTAAATAATATTTATGACTTATAAGTTATAATATAATTAGTATATTATTCTATTTAAACTCATATATTTAAAATACTTTGCTATTTTTCTTTTCTATAAGAGTTATTGAAAAAGAACATCAGTTTTTTTTTTTATTTTAAATAATTGTATAATTTTTTTAAGAGGCGATAATCAAAGTTAATTTCAGAAAATAACCCATTATTGTATTAATTAATTAATATTAATTGCATTAGCATAGTATAATATAGTTAAACACAAAATATATTTTAGAATTATGAAGTATTATACAATAAGAAGAAATCAAGTAAAATTTAAAAATTAAAATAAATAGATAAAATAAAATAGAATATTCTATTCTAAAATATGAAATTATATACTTACTTAGTGATCAACAAATATTAAATTCATAAGTATCATTGTGATAGGTATAAATAATATAATAGTATATTATTATACTAAATCATTTTCATAAAATAAATGTTAAACGTAATCATGTGTAAAAAAAAAAAAATTGTGACTTAAAGAGTTTCTATCGATACATTTTAATATTTTATACACTTTTCATGCCAATATCGTATCGTGAAATTTTTGAGTAAAATATTGCGATATCGAAAAAAAAATAAATAAAATAAGTATGCATATATTATAAGCAGTTTTACGATAAGAAAAATATATCTTTATATTGTTCCACTAGTGAAAGCTGTTTGATTCATTGCTTAAATATTTCCAAACCTATCTTAATTGGTAGTCCGTGAAATTCTAATGCTATATTTTATTCAAAGCAATAAGTTATATACACCCGAGTTCACATAAAATATAATAAATGATTATTTTACAAGTTAGATTTTATTTTTATAAGATCAAATGTCGTATAAAGTATTTTAGCATAGTCCATATCAATTTTTTTGTTATTATTGTTATTTCAAATAAATTTTAATTTATCAAAGTGGTTGATGGTGCAAAAAATATAGTGATCTATAAGTATTATTTAAATTTATTACGTGTTATTGCGATGTATATATTTACGTACTTTTTTCTCAAAATAAAATAAAACACGGTACATTACAAATAATTTCTCAACTACGTTAAGTAAACTTGTTGACCTAATTTGAAATTATTCCACTTAAAACAATGTTTGCTGTAAAAGCCGTGTTTCAAGCATATTATATTTTCTACTTGCATCAGTTCGTTGATCCTGGAGAAAGAGAGATTATTGTTTTTTTCATTTGAATTTGTCGTTCATGATATGACTGTTCACTTTAAGAACTGTTATCGTGTGTACTTATTCTGTTTTGTTGTGTTTCTGGCAACACTATTTGATAACAAATCCAAACTCTATATTTAGCCATTTTATACGGTTGGGTGAATACTTTTGTTTGAAACTTTGCTATCATAATATTATATTTCTGAAGTCAAAATTTAATACGTCTTCCTAAATGTGTACTTTCAACATTTAAATATTAGTATGAAATTTTTTCTTTGACACTGATAATACATTTCTTAAATATAAATTAAAAATATTGTATGAGTTATAATAATTTAGATTTATAAACTTTTATTAACTTATCAAAAATATGTAAATAATTATTTTATAGATTTTATATCATGATTAATATTTATATTATAGAATAGGTAGTTAAAATTTAAACTAATATATTATATGAATATAGTATTAATTTTGCTATCAGTTGTGCAGTATATTATATATAAAATTTATGAAATTTTAAGTAAATTAGGGATTATATCATTACGTATTGTCGTAAAAGTACTGTTTTTAAATTCTCAAAAATTACACATACACTCTCAACGTTTGATGTTTCCAGTTATCACTGGGTCACATTTGTTTTTTGCTGGTTATATATAGGATATAGTGCGCGTTAAAAGGAAGTGAATATCCTTTCCAACACATAATACACGAACGGCGTCATTCAGTTAATGATCGTCGGTGTTCCTACCCCTTGTATTTTTTTCTTTTTTCTTCCTTATAGTCTGTAACGGGTGGTGAATGTAGGGTCATCTAGAGGAGAAACTCGTTTTACCCAAACAAAACGAACTTTCGCTGTACATGCACATACCATAACTTACACAGTTTTTTTTGATTTCTGTCCCAACGTAATGATAAGTTTTCACTGTTAGTATTGTTATTTTTACTATGGTTAGCAACAAGTGCGTTCCACTTTCAAAATAATTTACCCTTATATTATTATTAGTGCGACGGTTGCGAATGAATAAATTACTTTCTTTTACATCGGTTTAATACGAAACGGCAAAGATAGGTGGTTTGACAACACATTGTTACCATACTATAAGAACATACTTCCTGAAATTATGAAGTATTTACGGTTGAAATATTATAAACACGTAGATATCGTTATAACGATACGGTCCGTTTTTGCCGTTATCACGAACGAATAGGTAAAAAACATTTGATCTATCCGATATCCATCGCGCTTGGGACGAGATGCGTGTCGGATCCAAATACGATCTCCGTCAAGTTATCGTAACGATTGAATGATAGAAAAAAAAAAAAATCCGCTACGGAAGTAGTGGACTATGAGGGGAAGACACGGTGAGTTGACACTAAGACGGCGACTACGACGACTGCAGCTATACACCACCGGAACTGTACGCTTTTTATTTGTTTATTATTATCATCTGTTTGTTTTGTTTTTCACGGAGCGAGTCATATAGGTCGGGTTTAGGGCGGCGGCGGCGGCGGCGTTGGACGGTGTTTAAAAATATTTGTGCGGGGTTCGGGTACGGCGCGCGGTTACATCGGGGGTGACGGCGGCGGTCGCTTCTGAACACGAGGAGAGCCCTCTCCTCCCCTCCGCGGCTTCAGGTGGTGAAGGCGTTCTCTGAGTTTGCGCGACCGTTGAAAAATTGCGCGTGCGCGACTGTGCATGTGCGCGCGCGTGCGCGCGTTCATGTGTGTGTGTGTGTTTGGTGTCGCGGTCACGTCCACACAGGAACTCCACACACTCGTACAAACTTACACTCACACAAACTTACACACATAAAAACTTACTCGCACACACGCAAAGCTACGCACGCACACACACGGTCACGTACTTACACGGACTCTGTGCTTCTCGTTCGGCGCGTATAACGCGTATAGTCTCATAGTGTTAGTTCGCGTTCAACCGAACACCCGTGCGGTAGTGTGCGCCTCGCCGTCGTCACCGCCGCCGCCGCCGTCACGGTCGTACAAGCCGAATCGGAAATCGACTTCCGCACCGGAGCACGACGACCGTTATAACTATCGCGTGCGAGTGAAATTCTAGACGGTCCATTATATTAATATGATTATCACAAATGACGTAGCCGCGGTCTCATAGCGTCTTTTACACACAGCATGTCCAATCGTTGGACCGCCACACTCCGATAATTTTTTTCGAGAGTACCCGATAACGTGACAAACCGATATTAATGAAATCCGTATGCGTATAACTACACTACTACAATGTGCGTGCGATTTGTTTCACGTTGTACGTCGATAGAGTTTAATAATATCAGTTAGAGTTATTAATATCATACGATGCCAGCCGGTCGCCGCCACGGTCGTGGTGTTCACTGCCGTCATGTGTTAGCCGTAGACTTAACTATGGTAATAGTATCGGTGTCTATCAGCGGAAGAGTTAAAGTAGTAGGAGGAGGAGGAGGAGGAGGAGGAGTAGAAGACGGTGTGCTTTGCTCTGCGACTGAGTTCAGCCCGATTGCCGGGTGATTTGCGTGTTTACATACACTGACGATTTGACTGATAACAAACACACACTGAAATCGTCACTGGTATCTAAAGCCAAGTGTTGATTGCTCAGCATTCCAAAGGTTAGTATGTTTATAGTGTAATTTTTATTATTTATTTTATTTTTTTTTTTCGATAAGGGGCTCAGACATTTTTGGTTCAGCGATTAAATTTAATGGTTATCCAAGTATTATTAAGTACTGTCGATTTATTTCGTATAACAAATATTATAGGTAGGTAGTGATAAAACGTAATATTGGGTATATTTTAGTAGTAAAGTAAGGTCGATGGCATTACATTGAATTTATTTATGATAAGTGTAGGTAAGTGAAATCGGTTTTACTAGGAACTTTTATAGGTAGTTTATATGTTTATAAATACTGTTGTGTTTATTAAGTGTACAGAACTATGATACGAACAGTTATTTTACTATACGGTAAAAGCTAATTTAATTGACCGATTTACGATTTCGTAGGAGTTAAGTTTTTATAACACACTATGCACCTCTTCTCTCCGCTTTCACTGTTTATACCAATAAATTGAATGTGAAGACTCGCAACATGGTTACACACTAACTTACTTCTAAAAATTAAGTAAGAACAATCACTGCTGCAATGAAAATAATAACATAATAACAATATTGTCTAGCGACCATCCCACCTCTTTGGTATTCCAATTAGGACAAGTGTCATAAATTATGACCGGTGCGCTGTACTGACAATGCCATCTGATATGGAAACTCAGCTAGGGGTTGCTGGTAGAGGGGTTGACGTTAATTTATTGTTGTCGTAATGAGTCAGACATCAAAATTAGCTAAACATTCCCCCTCCCCTTAGACTTTGTCTGCTAAATGTATCACATGAGGCGCCAAATGATTTGTCACAGTGAATTTCACGCAATTTCACACATGACCTTCACCTAAAAAAAGCACATGCCAAATGAGGTGTTGGACTGATTTTGCAAAAAAAAAAAAACCGTTACTGGATGTTTAAATCATTTAAAATTTTTTTTCTCAGGTATAAAATTCTAGTGTTTTATTCGATATTTCACTTATTGAATTTGATTTTTGTGATCTTTGTGTGTAAGCTATAGAAGTGTATAATATAAAAAACCTGTGAATATAATATTTTATTATCTGTACTTGATTCCCGTTTTTATGGTAAATATTTTATATCAAAAAAAAAAAAAAAAAAAAAAAGAAAAAGAAAAACATAAAAATAACGATTCGATATTTAGATATTTAATGTTTTGTTGGACCTTTGCCAGGTTCTTAATATACAAAATTAAACCAGTACGCAAAAATTCAATTCCTTACCATTTTATATAGTTTGTTGTCGTCTTAGCCAAGTAATTAAAGTAAATAAAATGCCAGAATCGTTTGCGCAAAAGCATTATCAATGCAGTATCCATCTGTATTTCTAATAAAAATATTATAACCCTCAACCATGGTTTACTTTTATCTGGGATTTGTTCGTGACACGTGTACGTATTTTTATTTTTGAAATCGATGTTTGTGTAATATTAATCTATTATTAAACTTATAAACAATTTTAAAACTACTGAGCATAAGATAAATTACACAATGGTAATTAATGTTTAAAAATAAAAATTTATAGATTATATAATCGAAAGGAAAAAAATAAAAAATAAATATTATAGCAGTTTTATAAAAATATAAGTATATATTTGTTAAACGTTTTAAAGTAAAATTCATGAATATACGATATAATATAGTATATTTATTAGGTAATTTAAAATAAAACTTTTAATTTAAAAATATAATTCATATTTTAATCAATATATTTATTTTTAAATATCTTTTTTTTTTTTAAATTTATCTACTTATGTGTAGGTAATGCATATAAAATATAAATGTATTGTATTCAATATTTATTTAATTTATTTTTAAGAATAATATTTTTCATTAAATTTTTAAATTAATTCAAAAAATCGTAATTATTAAACTCTGAGGGACATACTTTGGTAGACTCCTCTTCGTGTGTATTAATATTTTTGTTATTATTGTATAATTTTGTATAACGTACTGTATAATATAAAATCATATTTTACTGAAGGAAAAATGTATCTAATTTTATCAAAAATATCACAAAAAAAAAAAAAATAAACAATAAAAATATTTAATCTAATATGATTGTGCAAATCGAATTTATACGTTTTTATTATTATTATTTAAGTATTGGCTATGTAGTATGCATTGCATTCGTTTAGCAAATAAACTAACGAATAAATTAACGTATAAATGTATTTGGAGCCATTTTCATGTTACAGAATCTAGTGGAAGTTTTTGGGTGCTTTGTAAATTATTTGATATCAGTATAACCTGAGTGCTTAAAGTCATCCAAGTATTTCCATTGTTTAGTTAAAACAACATTTTCCGAAGACGAATATTTTCTCCAGAATGGACCTAGTTTGTTCAGCTTATACCATAGTAATAGTAGTTATGCTTCGTATTGTTTTATCGTATATTGTATGTGTAAAGTTTGTAAGGAAGAAGTTTAATAATATCAAAAGAAATAGGTAACAACATATGAAGATTAGTATATCATCTACGTCCGACATCGTTAACTATTCTATGCCAAATAAATTATACTACGTAGATACAATATGGTAACAAACTAACAAACTAATGTGTATTCAAATACTCATAATAGTCAATATTATAATGTAATTAATATTATTATTAAAAATAGGTATATATATATTAATTAATAAAATTGATTAATTTATAACATTTTTAAATAAATAAATAAACTATGATAATATTTATGAAATATTTATTAATACACATAATTAGATAACCATTATATTATAAAAAAGTATATCATGGTTTTGTAATTATTTGTAATACGATATTTATGAATCTATCGATTTATAATATATAAAGATAAAATGTTCTTAGTTCTATAAAGTTAAATCTAATGATACGAGTTTTGTATTGTTTTTTATTATATCAAACTTTGAAGACTATTTATTAGTTTTTTATGTAATCAATAGTAAAAAAAATTAGTAATAAAAAACTTAGTCAAAACGAAGATTATTAGAGAGGTGCATAAAACGAATCTACTTCGATATTATTTGAAGGTATTTTAAAAATTGCGTTCGTTAATTTCATTAAAATTAATATTTAATTTTATATTTAACACAACCAAATAAAAAACAATTAAATAAATTATAATAGTTAAAATGTATTATAGACTCATATAAATATAATTAAAGAAATTTTGTGAAATTCTTAAGTTTTGTTTTAAAGGCACATTATTTCTATAATAAATTTAGAAAACGAGTTACTTAATTCAGTAGGATACACCATGTCATAAAGTTAATTAAATATGATTAATTTATGTATAGCTGTAGTTGATTTATACCGTTATAAATTTTTTTTAAATTTTTCATTCAGAATAAGTGTTTATGCTTAAAAATTAAAACTATGTTATATTTATAAAAATATCATGAATTCGTAACAAAATAAGTTAAAACAATATGATTGATTAAAATCTTAAACATTTAAAATAAAATAATGTTATTCAAATAATAATCATTTATTGCTTAGTGAACAAAAACAATATTAAAATGCTGACTTTAAAATTGTTTGATTGAATAACGTTTCAACGAATTCAATCATAATTATTATTTATACTATTCCATTATTATTTACCTATGTAAAGTATAATACATGGAAATAACTGTATATATTCTTTATTCGATCATCTCGTTTTACAATTAGATTATTAGAATGTAAAGCAATAACAGTAAAATAATACAAACTAATGCTCATCTAATATCTTCTTAAATAATTTATTAACAATTTATTGTGTTATTATACATGATAATAATTAAAATTCCATTGTATTTTTGGAATTTCAAAAAGATGGATTAACTTCAATCAACACCTGTTTTCGTATTCCAGACGGTACCAACAAATGAGAAACATGGTTATAATTTAATATTATTTATGATAGAAACATGAATTCGTAGAGTGTTAGTATATAATAATATATAAAAGTAATAACATTATATGTACAAATGTAATATATATATATATATTTACGTAGTAATATACATAACACAATCACAAAGATACCATCTGATATGATTCAATGGTATGAAAAGAAAAAAAAATAGATACACAATAACAAATAACATACTTTTCTTAATTTCCGTCAAAGCGCTTGGAAGTTGGCGATTTCTGAAAATTTTAGTAAAGATGAAAATATAGACCCATGTACACGAGAGTATTGAAATACGTCTAAAATAGAATCAAAACTCACTTGGTTATATAAACAATAATAATTTTATAATTCTACATTTTTCCTGTAATGATTAAAATTAATCTAGGTTTTTCATAAGCATTTAAATACAGTTAAATATCTAAACGAGTATTGAACATGATCATAATATTTTTTTTTACAGTAATTCAAAAAGCTGTGACTGCTGACATTTTGTCGTTTGCCTGGTATAAGTCATTTTTTTCACAAGAGGTCCTTTTCTAAGGATATTGTAGTAGATGGTTCGTCATTGTCTGTACTACTTCATCGTAAGTTTGTATTTTCTTCTTTTCCAAAAATGTTCTATTTTTTGAGTATAGTTTCACATCGTCTATCACCTGCCCTTGTGCGGTCTCATGTCCTCCATTTTTCCCTTACATTTGCAGTCCTTTCTTTTATAATATAGCTCATTTTTTTTTTTTTTATGTCCTGTATTTTGTATTTTTGCTTTCTATCTTTTGGTCTCATTTTTTTTTTTTTATGTCCTGTATTTTGTATTTTTGCTTTCTATCTTTTGGTCTCATTTTTTTTTTCTCTCGAGTATTATACTGATCATATAGTGCAAAAACGAGTTTTTTCTGAATTTAATTTGTGTTTACTTCACAATGGTGGATTGTTTCCAATAGTTAATATTTAAATTGATGAACGATATAATATTGTTGAACAGTACATTATTTAGAACAAAACATTATTGGAAATCGATGTGATAACAATATAATGCACATTAAATAATATGGGGTACTACCTAAGTAAGTTGCTTTCACGAAAAATCTCGGACACATTAACCAAGTACACGCGTCAGCAGTACGCAACGGTGCGGTCCCGGCGTGTCACGTGGAGCACGTTTTATTGTCTCGACCGGCCAACAACTGCAACAGTCGCCCGGCTCATATTTTGCAGGGTAATCGAACGATGGTCTTACGGTACAGCTATGATATCGGAACCGACGGCTGTGCATATTTGATTATAACACGGCGTCACGTGTATGCAATATTAATGTCGTCGCGTCGTCGGTACAGTTGAGTGTATCGTTATTGCACACGCACGCTAAACCGTCGTGTGCACCGTGCTGGTTGTTGTTATTATAATAATAATAATAATAATATCGTTTTCACCGTCTCGTTTCGCGTCCTCGACAATAATATAATAAGATATAACGGTACTAACCTCTTTCTCGTTCATGATTTATATTTTGTATGTATACGCTCGCACGTGTGCCGCGCGCTTGTGTTATAATGATCTACTGAGGGCTGTATTATATTATTATTATCGTCGTCGTCATCGTAATAATATTACGGCGAGTGCTTCGACAACGACGACGATGACTCCAGAGGATCGGGTTGACCGGACGTCTAGCGCGGGGTATGAGAGTAGACCGGAATCGAAAGAGTCGGTGACGGGGTGGTATATATACTGCCGTGCGGTGGGGGGGGGGGGAGAGTTGTCGGCCGTATGTGTCGGGAGGGGCCAAAAGTCATTTATACACTGATCCCCTTCGCCTATATGCGTCCGCATTAGTCATGCGCCACTGGCTTTTCGAGTTTTCCTCATACACTCATACTCACATACACACGACGACATACAAACACGAACTTGCTTGCACACACCAACACGCACGTTCCGCTGCTGTGCCGATGCGAGAAAACTTTAGCGACGACGACGTGCTATTGCGTCGCGACGACCCGACCCGACCGCACTTTTACCGACCACTGGGCGTCGACGACGATGATTGCTATGATATAATACTATGTGTTAAAATATAAAATGATATACTGCGGCCGTTCCGTATATAGAGTCGTCCGGGTAGGTCAACGGGGAACTATATTACGGACGCCTAGACCCACATCTCTCTGAACCGTATTATTGTAATAATTAGTATTAAAATAAAGAGTAATGACAACGTTGGAGTTTCCATGAGCCATGGACACAAAACAAAAATATATTACATTATAATAATATGGACTCTGCATTCACTTCTGGATATTTCTAATTGTTTTATCGAGGAACATATTATTATCTTATTTTCCGACATTTTCAAACTCTAAACTTCGACGATTCCCGAACGTTAAAGTTTTAGTCACTTGGATGGATATATATAAAAACACAAAATAATGCTCATCTCGTTAAACCGTGAGGTCTTTGGCCATTGACACGCACTCGCACGCACCCTCGAATATGTGAACATGTATAGTATTGTTATTATCAAACTTTATACAACTTTATTATTGACGAATGGTCTGATCTATACGTTATCGAACTCATCGCTTGAAATTTCTACTAGAAATATGATATTATTCCCGCTCGGTTCGTAATCGAAATAATATAACTTTGTTATGATATTATTATAGCATTATTATTTTCACGATTCTCTCTTTATCGCCACTCCAAACTCTGAACCACAGTATATAATACATTATTATAAAACACAGTATATTATGTATATACATATTTTAAACATCGTGTTATGTCAACAAAATGTTTAGTCGTTAAGACTATAACTGATGACAAACAATATTATATAAACGAAATTATAGTGTAGTACCATCGACGTAGATAGCAACTACATACAAAATTGTCCCTGTGACAACACGGCATTTCTGTTGTTCGCCATTCATAATTTAGATTTAATTTGAATTTGGAATTTGTTACAATTAAACTAAAAATAATAATACGATGATAATTTTCATGAAATCGTTTTAATCTGGTTGTAAGTACATTTTTGTTATTCACTTTCATAAAGCATTCGTTATTTTAAGAATCTTAAATTGCGTATGAACTATAAATTATTGTGATACAAAAAAAAAAAAAAAAAATTACTTCTAACAAATTGTTTAATTTTAATTTTGTTTTTTGTTTTTTAAATAAAATACGTTTACTTAAAAACATTTAAGAGTAATTTATCAACATTATTTAATAATATATTTACTTTAGTTTGAGTAAAATTGTAAACATAATGATGTTTTAAAAATAATAAAATATATATTCGTAACTATAATTTATTGTTATAACGGTACACTTTGAGTTTTAAAGTTTAAATTATTTATCAAAATGTTTAATAACTTGTTATTTATATATAATGTGAATTAACGTTACAAATTTATAGTATTTTATTTGATCAGTGAAGTAGGTATTAAATATTAGTATACCTACTATATAAAATAGCATTAAACATTTACTTATTTTCTGAAACTGTTTAAAGGCAAAATAACTTAATTGAAATATTTTTGGCAGCCACAAGAAAATGTACTCTTTACAAGATACAAATACTTATTATATAAAATAATTTATGAAAACAAAATATTTTAAAAATAATAATAATATTGAGAATTTTTCGTTACAATGATAATAAAACATATTTCAAACCATTATTTTATATTATGTAATAAATGCATACTATAAAATAGAATAATTCATCGATTTAATAGATACTTAAAAAAAAAAACCATGCTTAGGTGTAATATTATTGTAGTATACATTTAATATCCAAATTGTTTGAAAGTTATTATATGAACTACCTAGAGCATTAATAATTATAGTCTGTAAAGATCAAATAGTAACTCTAATTTTTGTAAAATATTTAATAAATTAGTTTTCATTATATGAATTACGAATGTACATAGAGAAATAGTGATTTTCAACATAATTAAATATAGTTATTGGTTAATATTGTACTAAAATATTTCTAACATTTATTTCATAAATTTTGAAGTGCAATAAAATATATTTAAGGTAGATATATAGATATTAATTTATATTTTAAAATTATCTTATTATATTTAGAATTTAGATTTATTAATAATATTTACTTATATAGTAAGTGTTTGTAATGTTTATTTTATATTTTTTAAATTTAAAACTAAAATATAAAAATTTTTACAAATTAATTGGGTTTACAACTTGTTATTCTTGAAAATAATAGATTGTTATGTAAAAAATTAAAACAGTCATACAAATCATAATATCATGCTATTTAAGTTAAGATAAATACATTTTAAATCCAAATAAAATTTATAATATTACAATTTTTAAATTTTTATTTTTCAATAAATTCGTGTTAATTTACTATTTTTATTTTGCTAAAATTTAAGTGATAACCAAGGTATTGAATGTTTACTTATACGGTATTTTCAAAAAAGGTTATGAAAATATTGAAATAAATGAAGCTGAATGGTGATAATACACCAAAGCAGTTAAACCATATATTAACGATTTAATGACATATATAAAGTATTTAGTTGGAAAATGAATTATACATAATATATTGAATAATACGAATAATTTTTAATGAATATTGCAAAATAATATACAAAGATTACAACTGTATGTAGGTATTTTTTATATTTTACAAGTTACTAAAATCAATGTTTGGCACACACAATACCACTAAAGTGTCAAAAGGTCGTTCACTAATTTGGTACCCATTTTTTTCCATATAATATCTGAGCATTATAAATATATCAATTTTATAGTGACCTTTTTAAATATACCACTATTAGAGATATTCTCATCCGTTATCCACAGATTAGTTCATTAAGTTCCTTAATAATCTTTAGAATTTAATCGTTATATACGATCGTATATTACTAGGTGGTGTGTAATATTGGATCGGTTTCTGTAATAAATATTAAGGAAGAGAAAATGCATATATTTTTCAAAATCTTTTTTATTATCTAAAACATTTTTACTTTAAACTTTTTATTATATTGTATACAGATAACATATGTTAACTAAGAACTATTACCAGTATCTTTATGAAATGTAGACTAAAAGTCAAAAAATATAATATGTAGATAAGGTGTATGCATATATATATTATTTAACAATAAAAGTCAAACTATATATTATATTTCTTTTTTGGTAGACATAACTAACATCATAAATCACAGTATTATAACAGCTATTATTACTTTTATATATAATTATTAATTTAAAAATGTATAGTCGTGCAAGTGAAAACAAAAGGTAAACATTTGATAAAATTATGACTTATGATAATAGTATGAAAACTCAACATTTTATTGTAATCTTATATTTTTATTTTAGTTAATTATAAACTTTACAAGGACAGTTATTAACATATAATATTATAAATTATAAATAAAAATGCGTGTTGTTATAAAAAATAAAAATATAACTATTTTTAAATTAAAAATATTTATTTAGTTTTCAGTGATATTGTCTATTGCATTGTACACGATAAAAAATTTAAAGTATTTAGTGTAGCTCTTCTGTATATTTGTTTGATAAATAAAAATCATTATTTAGTCTA